GGGTCACACAGCTAGTAAGTGTCTGAGGTCTCATTTGAACTCAGGAAGATGAGTCTTCCTGACTTTAGAACCGGCATTTTATCCACTGCTCCACCTAGCTGTCCATACCTGGCAAGGCGGCATATTTAAAGTAAAATGCTGCTATGTATATACGTCTCACTCCTTCTTAGATATTAAGGTTTATTCTCCAATATACTTCTTATCTAGAGAACAGCAATGAGTGGTTGAAATCCACTGGTTTAGTTTAGATAAAAACTGGTTTCCTGTCTTTCTACTACTTAGTAAATATGCGACTTTGGGGAAGTCATTTAAATCCTCTGACCCTCAGTTTTCCTATGCATGAAATGAGTTTACATATCTCATGTGCTTGTTTATAAGAAAAGTCCTTAGAATCTTGTAACTAGTTGTAGAAGCACTATTGTCACATCATTAATTCCTGCTCTCCCCTCTTGTCACCCCCTGTACTAACTCCCAACCAGGTTCCTCTCCCTCTAAGATCCATCTTCCACACAGCTAACAAAAAAACTTTTCCCTCTAAAGTTCACATCTTCCAGCTTGATCAGCTTCTTGATTAAAAACACTTCAGTGGCTCTCTATTAGCTCTGGATAGAAAACAAATTTGCCTGTCACTTAAGGCATGACCCATGCTGGCTCCAAACCGGGTTTTGAGGGTTTATTTCTCTTTGCTCAATGTTCGAGACAAAGTGGACTACTAGCTGCTCCTCACACTCAGCAGGATGGTTTTTTGCTTGCCCACATCTGTACAGACTGTCTCCCATGACTGGAATATTCTCACTTCTTATCTCCACCTTTTAGAATGCTTTTCCCTCCAGGCTTAGCTTAATTGCTTTATTCTCCATGAGATATTCCCTGTTTGAGCCCCAACACCCAATTTCAGCTGAAAATGTTCCCTTCCTCCCCAGATTTCATAGAGCGTTAGATCTAAATCTCTCTTTTGCCCCCATACATGTATGATACGTAACTACATATATACTGCTCCCCAAAGGTTAAGCTCTTTGAGGTCAGAAACTACGTCATTTGTCATTTATATTTCCACAGCCTAACATACGGCCTTATACATAGTGTGCACCTAATACATATTTGATTAATTACACTGAATTGGATACACCTATGATGCATAGCTTCTCTGAGACCATAGTTTGAAGATCATTTGTTGTATTAGAAAATTTACGGATTTTGAATTGTAACACCTGGTTTCAATCTCTAACCCCACCCCACCCCACCGCCTCATCTCTGCCTCCACTACTTAATAGCTATATAAACCTGTAAAAATCATGGAATCTCATAGGATGCAATGTGATACAGTGGAAAGGGTTCAAGATTTGCAGAGTATCTGGGTTCAAATCCTAGATCCACAAATTTGTGACCTTGGGCAGGTGACTTCACTCACCAGGCCTCAGGTTCTTCATTTGTAAAATGAAGGGATTAGACCAGATGGCCTCTGAGTTCCCTTCAAGCTCTACATCTAGGATTCTAAGATATCTAAGCCTCTGTTTACTTATGTAAAAAGGGAATAAGAATAATTGTACTAACTACATAGGATTGTCATAGGTATCAGAATATTAGAGATAGAATGGACCATAAAGATAGTCTAGTCTAGCAATTCTTAACTTGGGGGTGTGTGAATTTTTTCTTTTAATAGTTTGATAACTATTTCTCTATGATCAGTTTTCTTTGTAATCCTATGTATATTATTTTATGTATTAAAACGTGATTCTGAGAAGGAATCCAGAGGTTTCACCAGATTGTCTTCAGCAAAGGTTATGAACTCCTGTTGTTGTCCAATGCCTGTCTTTCACAGATTAAGAAAGTCTCCCCACGAAAGGAAGTGACTTGTCCAAAGTTAAACAACTATTGGAAGCACTCACAGGACTAGAATCTACATCCATTCATGAGCAGATTACAAATCACCGAGTCCAAACACCACAATGGGTATTCAGATGGGAGAAGTTTGTATACCAGAAGTAGTTTGTGTGATGGTCTTTTGGGATGTTTTTGTGTTATATATCACATTACTTTCTGAGGGACAAATAACAATATACATGAAAGTCATTTGTTACCACAATTCATTCAATCAATGTAAGCTGCTATAAAATTAATACTGTGTTATATTATTGCTATATTATTAACAACAGCAGTAATAACCACTATCCAAGTGCCTAGTCTCTTAATGACCAAGGTCTCAGGATTTCTGGTATTAAAATGTCCTCTGTTTCAGAGCCATAACTAGGGCAGGGTGATAGGGTCTTGCCAAAGGGCATGAAATTTATAGGATGCCAAATTTAAAAGGCAAGATTAATAGTGTAGAAATAGCAGAGCTTGGCATTTACGCAGCAAAAATAATTAGTTCAAATAGGAATCTACCAAGGAGTTCTTCATATCTCCTCCCATTCCCATCCCCAATCCAATCATACCTCTCACTCAAGGTATAGGTTGTGGTACTTGCATAGGATACAAAAATGCCTAATTAGAACTCTGCTAGATTACTTTCCCCAACTATGTTCCAGCTTATTCTTGAGTCAAGAAGCTGCCTTATATCTCTTTATCTACTTCATGGAATTCTAATCACTTCCTTCTAAAAGAAAAATCCAATCAGCATATTCTCAGGGCTGGCACAGGTGCCCTCCTTGGCCACATCTTCTCACCATGGCTCTTCCCCTGGGTGTAGATAAAACTCCCACATAACCTAGATTCAAAAACACAGAGAGAGCACTTGGAGATACAACACTAGGACTTCCTAATTTTGTTTCCAAAGGGCAGTAAATCAGGATAGTCTATGAAATGTTGCCAAGGACTGATGTTTGCCCAGTAGGTAGCAGGACCTTAATAAATGTTTGTTGACTTCACATGACATGTGAGGCACTCCCATAGATTTGACTTCTGGGTCTCTGTTGCTCAGCTGTACATACCAACAGTCCTGGGTTCCTGTCTTGTTCTAGCCTCACATGTTCTCTGCACTTTATAGGTGACTGAATTCTTCCAAACAACAGATCGGTAGGTCTTCCCTGAGTTTGTTGTCTTCCTTAAGTAATTGGGCTAGTGTGGCCCCAATAAAAAATGAAGTCAATTGACGCACTGTAGAATGGCGGTGGCCTCTTCTGAATGTGCTACATACCCTATCTCTGACCTCCCTACCTCCTTACTTCCCACACACTCCTCTATTTCCACACTGTTGACTCAGATTTATGAATTGTCAGAGATGGAAGAGACTATATGGAAGTCAAAGGTTCTTAATGTGGGGTTTGTGAACTTTTTCATTTTTCATTGTTTCATTACTTTATTTTAATATAATTGATCTCCTTTGTAATACTATGGATTTGTTTTCCTGAGAAGAGGTCCATAGGTTTTATCATGCTGCCATAGGGGTACATGATATATACAAAGAGTAAGAACACCTGGTTTTAGGTATTGCTAGAAACAGACAAGATCTGTTTTCTTCTTAGTCCTGTCTCATTCAGTGTGATATGAATAGAAATAATACTAGAACTGGAGTATAGGACCAGCTCTGGGATTTACTAACAATATGACCTTCAGCAAGTCATTGTACATCTTTGATCTTTAATGTTGTCATCTGCAAAATAAATGGACTTGACTAGATGATCTCTACGGTCCTCAATCCTACATTTCCAATGGCAGGTATCCCTGATTGAAAATTTGCCCATGGACAATGAGTGGTGAGGAGAGGAATGGATTCTATCCTTTATCCAGTCCATTGAACCAAAATTCTGGAAGAAATCAGATTGTAGATGTGGTCTCACAACACCAAAAACAGCAACAACCACCCCAAACCTCTTAGCAGTCTGTCTGTAAACATGTTGACATGCCAGCCTCTGATGCCAGTTCCCCATTTTGGAAGATCTCATCCAGAAAGCTCCTACACACTTACTCCCTGGGTCACATAATCCCTTGTTCTTCCTTCAGACATTGGAAATCCTGACTATACTGGAGCTTTGTTTTTCATCTTCAGCAAGCCTCAACTCAATCCTAATAGTCTATTGCAAAGATCAACTTAACCAGCCATATAGTTATTATTCTTAAGTTCCCTTCACTTTTTTTAAGGAATCAATTTGGTCAATAGTTTGAGAGAGATGGCTGTTGGGGCTAGTAGGGCTATGTTCCCAGAAACCATTCCCCTAGATAACTTGGGGAAATTCATGTGTGTCACAACCTCTTTTGGCTTTGTTTTGCTTTGTCACTATGTGACATTTGGGGAAGAGGGTAGGGGTGGGACCTTTGCCTGTCTTTTAAATATTCCAGCGTAAGTGAGTGGGTACTCACCTCCTTCTTTTTCCTAGTAGAATAAACCCAGAATTAGAGAATTAGAGATGGAGGGACCCTAAAGACTAGTACAACCACTCTCTCCCATTTTACAGAGAATGGAACCAAGTTATAGGGAATGAAAAGATTTACCCAAGATTACACAATAGTTTATAGTGGACTTTGACAAGCTACCTCTTTTTACCTAGAAAGCTCATACAATCCTGGAGCTGGAAGGGACCTAAGGCATAATGAAGGTGAACGACCTCATTTTATAGAGGAGGAAACTGTGGCAGATCATGTAATCTTCTCAAGAATCATTTTCTATGCATAGCCAGTGCCTTGTAGCTACTTAATAAATGCTTGTTGAATTAAATTGAAGCAACTTGATTAAAGCCACGTAATGACTTCATGGCAGAGCTAAGACCTTGGGACAGTTTTTGAGAAAACCAGAATGCAGCTGCCAAATGTACAATGGACCTAGGAGGAAATCAGTGACTGGCTCGCCGCTTCCTCCTCCTCTCTGTCAGCTTGCTCTTTTGTCTCAGCTATTTCCTAACATCACCAGCACAAAATATTCCGAGTATGAACACCAATTCTCCCCTCTCCTTCCTCCCAACCTATACCCCCAACCCTCCCCCTCCTCCATGGGAATAACTTTGCTTATTGTGGACAGACTCTAAAAACGTGATGTAGAACAGGCAGCTCTGGGAGGTACTTACTTCTCTCTGTTGAAGATTATAAATTCTTTCCTCACTGTTTCTAAACACTGCTGTAGGTGTCCATTCTTTCACAGTGTCAGGAAGAGGTTGATCATAAATGAAAGAAAACAATCATGGTGACAAAAAAGGAACCCATGGTGAATAGAGAATTCATCATTGACTCAAATAAGAGATGGTTTCAGGGGACTGAACTAAGGAAATGGGACTGAGTTTGGGTGATTGCTCTCCAAATTGGTCCCGAGGACCTTTGACTTTTTTCTTTCCAGAAGCCAGGCTGTTGATGACTACACACTTATTTCAAATAACTATAGAGAATAGGGAAACTCTACTGCTGGTGATTTTGATCTCTTGACATTTAGAATTTTCATTGGACAAAATTACTCTGCATTAATGACATGCAAATCTATGAAGCAAGGGTAGACTTGTATGACAAAGAGTAGCAGTCAGGATTCATCAGTGCTCCTGACAAAGGAAGACAACACATCTGTCTGAATGGCAAAATTGACTCCAATGTTGTTGGCATGAAAACTTTTTTTTTGGCCTCTTGCTATTGGTTGTGAATGCCCTCATGTGCTTCTACATTGTGATATATTGTCTTTCAAAGGTTGTATTACTGCTTTTAATTATAGCATCTATATAATGATTCTTTGAATTTTCCCCAAGCTTAGTGTGATAGCTTTGGAAAGTGCCTTGTACTCCTTGGGTGGCAAGTTGGTCATTCCTGGTATAAATAGGAAGGGTGGCATTTGTCTTTCACATTTAAAGGTATAAGAATCTTTAAACATCATTTCATGAGGAATATTTGACTTGCCATACTTTGGTGAAGTACCCTCCAGCCCCCCAACAACAACAACAAAAAGAGAACTAGTAGTTATGTATTAGTGGCTCTAAACATTACCTTTTATGTTTAATTTGAGGTAACGTTAAGTGTCCAGGAATTCAACCACATTGGGGCATTGGAGTGCTAGACCTCAGGTGGGTTCCGGATGGCTTTAGGTACAGTAGATAGAGCACTGGGCCTGGATTCTGGAAGACCTGAGCTTCAAATCTGGTCTCAGACACACATTGTGTGAACCTGGGCAAGTCATATAACCTCTGTTTGCCTCAGTTTCCTCAACTGTAAAATGGAGATAATGACAGGACCTACCTCACAGGGTACTTATGAGGACCAAATGGATATTATTTGTAAAGTTCTTAGCACACTTGATTAAGTGCTATATAAATGTTTATTCCCTTCCCTTCCTTCCTCCTTCAGATGTAATCATACCTCTTCCCACTACCCAAATCAAGGGGAAAGATATTGAGCAGCCATCTGACTATTCACCAGTGTCCATCTGCTGTTTCTCCAGCATTTCAGGAACAGCAATGGGACTTTTCCTCCAACTGCAAGGCTGAATCACTGGAGAAGAGGAGGAGGGGGAGGATGCATTTGGCATCCAATATTTCTTTATTCTCTGTCACTGGCTAGCTGAGCTATCAATCAATATCGGACTAAATCAGTGAAGTATAATTAAAACAATAGTTAGCTGAGCTGTAGGTCAACATCAGACCAATAAGTGAAGCAAAATGACCAATAAAATAGTCTGTGACTGATCTGATGCTGATCAGTCAGCCAGTAATAATTGAGGAAAGAGGGAGACAACACAGTCTCCTCTCCTTATTTTTTTTTCCCCATAAAAATTTTGGGGCTCTATTGATAGAAATTCTGGCAAATGGCCTGGATTATGACTGGTCTAGACAAGTCTCCTTCAATTGACCAAAACCTCCAACTTTGTTCTCAACAAGGCCTCCCTCAGTCTTGGACCCCCATTTGAAGAAGGGATAAAGGAGACCATGCCCTCCATCCCCCAGAACCCAGCACCTACCAGGGCACAGCTTTCTTTCCCTCCATCTTTGGATTTGTTTTTGGCGAGCCTCTTCTTCTTTTTATGAAGGGGTTTAGATTCTAGAATCATTTCTTCTAGTTCAAAAGTTGGATCACAATTCAGCCTCCCTTTCTGTCATCAAAGCAGAAAACAAAGACAAAATTTTCTTATGAAACTTAAATGTTTAGCTTCAGTGAATAATGGTGCTCCATGTGAGGGCTTTTAGCACTTTCTATAGTATTCTGAAAAACAGCCAAATGGAGCCTACAATACTGCCACCAGGAAGAGCTAAGCAGAGAATAAGAGCCACTTGGATTTTAGCCCTCATCTGGCTTTAGCAATAAAAGCCTGAGGAAGGAGAATTCAGCAGCTCTGGACACCTGTACTCTATTAACATCCACTGCCAAGGCACACACAAGAGTGAAAGCAATGGACCATCACCACTTCAAGACACTTAGAACAATCGGATTTATTCTTTGGCAGCTCAGGAAGCCTTACTGAGAACAGAACTCCCCCTGACTTCAGTGCCAGAAGGAAGTGAAATGAGTCGGGAAACAGGCCCAAACTAAGCTGCATCAGAGGTGCAGACAAGGTCTTTACGGCGTAGGGTCATGGAAAGAATGCTGACCTTGGAAGCATAGAACCCAAAAATCTTAGAGATAGAAGGGACCTCATAGGCCATCTGGGCAATTCAGAACTGAAAAGGAATTATTTCTAAGACATTCCCAGCAAGTGGCCTTTGGGCCTTCCAGTGAAGACCCGTTGTGAAGAGACCTGCACTTTCTCCTGATTCCACTTATAGCAATAATTATAGCAATATTATAATTATATATAAATATATTAAATATATAATTATAGCAATAATAACAATATTAGCTATTAGGAAGTTTTTCTTTAAATTGGGGGGAAATTGCTCATGGATTTGCTCTCAGGGCCAAACAGAACAAGTGTGATCCCTAAGTAGTTAGGTAACATAATAGATAGAGACCTTGGACCTGAAGTCAGGAAGAGCAAGTCACTTAACCTCCATCTGCCTTGGCTTCCTCATCTGGAAAACTGGGATTAAAAATACAAAAAAAAAAAAAAAGAAAAGAAAAAAAAAGAAAGAAAGTGAAAGAATATCTTCAATTGACCCAGAGCCTCTTGTGAACTTCCTGAGAAAAGGGCATAGGAGAATCTCCTCCTTTTTATATACTCAACTAAGCCTAAACATGGAAAGCCTGAAGATGGCAGAGAGAAGCCAGGAGGTTGCCTGAGTTCTCCCCGGTTTCCCTCTGAAACAACATTAAATCAAGCCTCTAAAACAATTCTGGAGCAGCAGAATCCACAGAAAGACAGAGTGAAACAATTTTCCAGCCCAAGATAACTTGAAGGACTTCAGGAAAGGTCTGTCTCACTTGGGTTAAAGTGGGGTACGGCCCAGCACAGGTGGTGGGAGGCTCTTAGCCACGGCACAGATCATCAACCCAGGCCCTGTGGTTCTGACTCATCAGGCCAGCTGGGAGGCCTCCAACCACAGTGCAGCAGGCACACTGTCAGCCCCAGAACCCAGGGCACAACAGGTACAACTAGGCCCGGCCAGTCTGGCACAGTGGGCAAGCTGCTAGCCCCAGAGGCCCTGGCACACAAAGCCAGTGACTAGGCCCCTAGCCCCCAGTGCAAGATGCTTGAGACAGTACCCTCTGCACCCCAGAAGCTGAGCTCAAATTTTTAAAATGAGCAGAAAACAAACAAACAAAAAAAGCCTGACCGTAGAAAGCTACTATGGAGACAGGGAAGATCAAAACACAAACTCAGATGAGGACAACAATGGCAAAATGCCTATGTGCAAAGCATCAAGGGGAAATATGAATTGGTCTCAGGCCCAAAAAATCCTCTTGGAAGAGCTCATAAAGGATTTTAAAAATCAAATAAGAGAGGAAGAAGAAAAATTGGGAAAAGAAATGGGAGTTATGCAAGAAAATTATGAAAAAAGAGTTAACAGCTTGGAAAAGGACACGAAAATTGACTAAAAAACCAACTCCTTAAAAATAGAATTGGCCAAATAGAAAAGGAGGGACAAAAGCTAACTAAACAAAATAATTCCTTGAAAATTAGAATTGGGCAAGTGGAAGCTAATGACCTTATGAGACATCAAGAATCAGTCAAACACAATCAAAACAATGAAAAAAGGAAGAAAATGTAAAATGTCTCATTGGGAAAACAAATGACCTGGAATATAGATCCAGGAGAGATGATTTAAGAGTTATTGGACTACCTGAAAGCCATGATCAAAAAAAGAGCCTGGACAGCATCTTTCAAGAAAATTTCAAGGAAAACTGCCCTGATGTTCTAGAACCAGAAGGTAAAATAGTTATTAAAAGAACCCACTGATCACTTTTGTTTGTTTGTTTGTTTGTTTGTTAGGCAATTGGGGTTAAGTGACTTGCCCAGGGTCACATAGCTAGTAAGTGTCAAGTGTTTGGTCTGAGGCCAGATTTGAACTCAGGTCCTCCTGACTTCAGGGCCGGTGCTCTATCCACTGCGCCACCTACCTGCCCCCCACTGATCACTTCTTGAAAGAGATTCCAAAATGAAAACTCCAAGGAATATTGTAGCCAAATTCCAGAACTATCAAGTCAAGGAGAAAATACTATAAGCAGCCAGAAAGGAAAATTCAAAAATCAAGGAGCCACAGTTAGGATTACACAGGAGCTTCTGTGTTAAAGGATTGTGGAGGTCTTGGAATATGATGTTCCAGAAAGCAAGAGAGCTTGGATTACAACCAAGAATCAACTACTCAGCAAAATTGAGCATAATCTTTTAGGGGAAAAGATAGATATTCAGTAAAATAGTGTACTTTCAAACTTTTCTGATGTATTTTTTTCTCAGTGATACATGGCACCTACACAAAAATTCATCATGTATTAGGAAGTAAAAACCTCACAATCCAATGCAGAAAGGCAGAAATATTAGATGCATCTTTTTCAGATCATGATGCAATAAAAATTACATGTAATAAAGAGCCATGGAAAGATAGATTAAAAATTAATTGGAAAGTAAGTAATCTAATCCTAAAGAACAAGTAGGCCAAACAACAATCATAGAAACAGTCAGTAATTTCATCAAAGAGGATGACAAAAATGAGATAACATACCAAAATTTATGGGATGCAGCCAAAACAGTACTTAGGGGACATTTTATATCTCTAAATGCTTACATGAATAACATAGAGAAAGAGCAGATCAATGAATTGGGCATGGAATTAAAAAGCTAGTGAAAAAAACAAATTAAAAATCCCCAATTAAATGCCAAATTAGAAATTCTGAAAATCAAAGGAGAGATTAATAAAATTGAAAGTAAGAAAACTATTGAACTAATAAATAAAACTAAGAGCTGGTTTTATGAAAAAAAGGCAATAAAATAGATAACCTTTTGTTTAATTTGATTTAAAAAAAGAAACAAGAAAACCAAATTATCAGTATCAAAAAATGAAAAGGGTGAATTCAGCACCAATGAAGAGGAAGTCAAAACAATAATTAGGAGCTATTTTGCCCAACTGTATGCCAATAAATCTGACAATCTAAGTGAAATGGATGAATATTTACAAAAATATAAATTGCCCAGGTTAACATAAAAAGAAATAAAATATTTAAATAACCCCATTTTAGAAAAAGAAATTGAACAAGCCATCAATGAACTCCCTAAGAAAAAATCAGCAGAGCCAGATGGATTTACAAGTGAATTTTACCAAACATTTAAAGAGCAATTAATTCCAATACTATATAAACTATTTGGGAAAATAGGCAAAGAAGAAATTCCACCAAATTTCTTTTATGACACAAATATGCTACTGACGTCTAGACTAGGAAGAGCCAAAACAGAGAAAAAAATTATATTTCTCTAATGAATGTTTATGCAAATTTTTAAATAAAGTATTAGCAAAGAGATGACAGCAATTTACTGGAAAGGTAATACACTACGACCAGGTGGGATTTATATCAGGAATGCAGGATTAGTTTGATATTTTGAAAACTATTAGCATAAATGAATATATCAATAACAAAACCAACAGAAATTATATGATTATCCCAATAGATGCAGAAAAAGCTTTTGACATACTACAGCACCCATTCCTGTTGAAAACACTAGACAGTATAGGAATTAATGGAGCTTTCCTTAAAATGATAAGCAGTATCTATCTAAAACCATCAGCAAGCATTATCTGTGATGGGGATAAGCTAGAAGCCTTCCCAGTAGGATCTGGAGCAAAACAAGGATGCCAATTGTCACCATTATTAATCAATATTGTACAGAAATGTTATCTTTAGCAGTAAGAGAAGAAAAAGGAATTGGAGCAATTAGATTAGGCAATAAGGAAACAAAACTATCACTCTTTGCAGATGATATGATGGCATAGAGAATCCAGACAATTAATTAAAAAACTACTTGAAATAATTAACAACTTTAGCAAAGTTGCAGGAAATAAAATAAACCTACGCAAATCATCAGCATTAGCAAGAAGAGAGAAAAAGAGAAATTCCATTTAAAATAACTGAAGATGGTATAAAATACTTGGGAGTCCACTTGCCAAGATGAAATGAACCCAGGAATTATATGAACACAATTACAAAACACTTTTCACACAAAGTCAGATCTAAATAATTGGAAAAATATCAATTGCTCACGGGTGTGCCAAACTAATATAATAAAAATGACAATTCTATCTAAATTAATTTACCTATTCAGTGCCATACCAATCAAACTACCAAAATTATTTTATAGAGTTAGAAAAAAATAACAAAAATTCATCTAGAAGAACAAAAGATCAAGAATATCAAGAGAATTAATGGAAAAAATAAGAAGGAAGGTGGCCTACCCATGCCATATCTATAGTATAAAAAGCAGCAATCGTCAAAATTATTTGGTGCTCACTAAGAAATAAAGCGGTAGATAAGTGGAATAGATTAGATATACAAGACACAGTAGTAAATGATTACAGTAACTTACTGTTTGATAAACCCAAAGACTTCAGCTGCTGGGATAAGAACTCACTATTTGACAAAAAATCCTGGGAAAACTGGAAAATAGTATGGCAGAAATTAGGCACACACATCACGCACCCTATGCCAAGATAAGGTCAAAATAGGTAC